CTGGCCATCAAGCTCTCCTGTAGCTTCTGCTGTAGGTCCAAGAAGCCACTAGGCTGTCCATAATCTGTTGGGCTTAGTTTTTGTTTTCCTCTCTGCACACCAGGCACTGCTTGCAGATATAGTGGAGCAGAGTGAGCCCCTTGGGCTCAGAGGTTTTTTCAACCCCTTTCTTCTTTACCAGGGGAAAAACATTATGCCCCATGCACATGGGATGTGGCATCTGCCTTTCAGGAAGGAGTTCAGCATGGAGGATTCAACTGCATTTATTTTTTTAGAAGCCAAGGGTCCTGATTTCTCCAGTCATCCCGTAAAGATTTTCACCTGCCCAGCATGGCTCTTTGTAAGTATTTTTGGAGAAAGCTGATGCCACATTCATTCCTTCGTAGTCATTCATAACTCAAGATGGGCATATGCAACACATGGAAGGGATTGCCATTAGGGCTTCTCAGATTGTCATACATTTTGTAATATTCATTTCCTGTCCTGGTTTACATCATGAGCTTCATACGGTGCTCCACTGCAGTGGGTAGTTAGTTCCTTGGTATTCACGGTTAAATGTCACTACATCTCTTCCTCTGAAAGAGGCACTAAGTAAATAACACCAACAGTTACAACGTAACTGGACAGAGAAACCTCATCCTGTCCATCTTTAAGGTCTCTGCATCCTCTGCTGACCATGGTAAGTTTACATTTTGAATCTCTCTGTTTGAAAACGTCAACCACTAGAGTTTCGACTACCATGTGTCTAGACCTGCCCTGCCGGGGTGAAATGACACCGTGTTTGCCAGACCTCAGAGCTGTTGCTGCAGATACTATAGGTGGAAGTGCACTGGCAAAGCACACCAATGGGAAATGCAACAAAAAAAAAAAAGTTTGCACAGATGCAGCCAACACTTGGCTTAATTGGTTTGTTGTACTGTCTGGTAGTTTGGATAAATCAATTTGCTGTGGTGTTTCAGTTATCTGTGACATGAAAAGGGTTTACTGAAAGGATGTTTTCCACTAAATTCCTTAAGTGCCGAACTGCCTATTCTACAGGCAACCCCCACTTAGCGCTCTTAATTGGTTCCTGAAAAACCGACCGTTAAGTGAAACGAGCGTTAACCGAAAGTTTTTGATGACCCAAGATGGCGACTGCAAGTGTTTGTAATGACCCAAGATGGTGACCGCGGGCATTATAACAAAACTCGCTGAGCGCTAAGTGGAATCGGGTATCAATTTAAAATGAGCGTTACAGCGAAACAGTGCTAAGCAAAACCGTGTTAAGCGGGGGCTGCCTGTATTCTGTATCCTTTAGTTTCATTCTCTTTCCAGGGAAGTCAACAGCAAAACGTCTTCCACCTCAGTGAGATGGGGGGCGAGCTGATATCACAACCATTCATGTTACCTGAAAATTTGGTAGGCATTTGGTTTCACATGGGTTAAGACCTGAAGGGACTTGAGATCACCTAGTTCAGGAGTGCTCAACCACTGACCAGATCTGGCCTCCAGCGCTGTGTCACCAGCCCATGGGGCTCCCTGAGAATCTGTGGGGAGCTCGTGGGCTACGGCCCTGCATGCTAGGTTGGGTGCACAGGACAATGCGGGACCCAATCCTGGCTCGTGAGGGGCGCATGGGGCAGCACAAGGCCCCAGGACCTCATTCCAGCTGGGGCGGGCATGGAGCCCCAGAGCTCAACCCGAGTGTGGGACCAGCCCTGCACCATGCATCCAATCCCGTGGGGCCAAAACCTCAAGCTGTCTTAGTTGAACCTCCTGTATACCACCACAGGTCCAAAAATGGTAGTTAAAACTAAAGCAGTGAAGTCTCCTTTCTGCTAGGAACAGGGAGAAATTCCCAGTCTCGTGGCAGAGAGTCAGGAGATGCGAGTTTTCATCTTCCTCTTGCACATACAACAATTAAAAGGTCTTTGGGAAAATCAGCAGCCTCTCCATCCTGTGGCAGCAGTGCCACGGTATTCACTGCATCGGCGTGATGCTCAAAGAAGCAGCGATTTGGCCCAACATCACCTACCGCATCATGGTACTGCAGTAAAGGGCCCCGGGAACTGGCAGAAATGCGAGGCAGGGACGAACAGGACTGTCCTGATGGCTCCTCAGAAAAAAACCCAAAAAACCCAGAGGAGGGCCCTGCCTCCTGAAGCCCTGGGAAATCTCAAAGCTGGCCATTCTTTGGACCGCTAGGCAAGAACATTTCTCTCAGGCCTCAAAGAGACACGATTCTACCTCAGGTCTAAGACCAGAACAACCACTGCTGGTGCCACGATCCCCGGGGATGCGGGTACGAGGTAGATCTTCCGCACTCTCTGAATCGGTTGCAGAGACGGCATACCTGAGACTTGCAATTTTGAACAATCTGTGCTGGACTGCTCGCTAAAATTAGGAATAAATATATTCCAGGGTTGAACCTTTTATGACTCCCTTACAATTACTGTGCGCCGTATATCTTAAAAATAGATTGAAGTGACATGGTGAGTAAAGAGTCCCATTTAATCTACTTCAACATGCTCGCCACATTGCTGTTAGGCTTGTTTGGCCTTTGTTAACTTGGAGATGTAGAAAACCATCTGTTTTGGCTGTAGACTTCCCCCCCCGCCCAAAGACTCAGAGGAAATAAACCACATGGGTAAATTAAATTCACCGTGTTGCTGCCTTGCACTGTTGAAATATATATTTACAGCCATCAGATCAACATCCACAAAGTACCTTGAAACTCTGTAATTACTGTATTTACTAGACTCCAAGACAGGGGTTTCCCTCCCAGTCAGCACCGGGAAAAAAAGGTGCAGCGTGGAATCAAGTATCAGCCTGGGGCAGGCAGATGCTCAGCTCTGGCTTCAGCCCTGGGCTTTGGGAGGAAGCTAGAGCTAAGCTACTGCCTACCTAGGGCTGAGATGGCAGGGGATGGAGTCTCACAGACAGGGGAGTGCAGAGGAGACCATAGATATGTGGGGGGAATAGGGGAGACTCGTGTATGCAGCTCAGGGGGAGCACAAAGGAGACTGCACAGCCTATTCCCCCGCAGCTGCCCCCAGCTCCAGTCCCTCTAGCCCTGACTTGGCCCAGCTGAGAGCTGCTGCTGCTTCTCCCTGGCTGGGCCAGGCTGGGGCTGCCAATGCTGCTGACTGCCCTGGAGACAGAGCAGAGCTGCAGCAAAAGATAAGTGGCAAGGGGGCTCTGGCATATGGGGTGGAAAGGGGTGGAGGAGAGGGGGGTGAGCGGGCAGGCAGGGAGAACAAGGGGCAGGGGTCTGGTCTTTTGCCCCCTACTACTGCTTTGCCTGCCACAGTAGCGGGGGGTACAAAATTAGGAAGACTTTCCACTAATTAGCTTCTGTGCATGGAAAACAACAAGACATTTACAATTTTCCATATATATAATCTAATTTTGGGGCAGTTAACTTAGATTCAAAATGGTCTTGGATTCAGGTAAATACAGTAGTTCTGCTTTTCAGGTACAGGTACTCCCCACTAACGTCATCCTGGTTAACATTGTTTCATTATTACGTCGCTGATCTATTAGAGAACATACTCATTTAAAGTTGTGCAATCTTTGATTATGACGTTGTTTGGCTGCCGCTTGCTAGTAGGTAACTACTGTGATATAATTGGATTAGCTTAACACCGTTTCGTTTAAAGTCGCATTTTTCAAGAACACAACAACGTTAAGCGAGGAGTAGCTGTATTTATAATGCAGCTGTAAAGTGTCACTGATATCTAGAGAACAAAATGTCAAACCAGAGGTTTTTGGGGGTTTTATTCCACTGGTCACAGAGTAAAAAGCAGCAGCATTTTAGATATTCTTAAAAGGATATAATTCAGGACAAAAATAAAGAACAAAAATAGAGACAAGAGTCTCTAATTAAATAACAGTCTACCAGCTATAGAACGCACCCAGTGTTTTATTTCCCAACTACAGACTTACTTCTATAATCTAGAAAGAGCCAAAAAGTTTTTAAAAAAAAGACACTATCAGGGCCCTACTCTGTCCATGCCCAAAGATTATGGTGTCAGACTCAGCCTCGTGGGTAGAAGCTGCACCACTGTTTTAAACAGATCATTAAATGGTTATTGGGCCAGGTAAGAGGCTGCATCTGTAGCCTTGGATGTGGGAGACCAAGGTTGGTGCTCCTGTGATCCTAAGTCAAATGCAGGACCTGAATCTAGGTCTTAGAAAGGCCCTATCCACTACACTCCTGGCTGTTCTGAGGTGATTCTTGCTCTCATTTCCTTGCAAAAATGTTTTCAAAGCTCGTTTCCATTCTGTTGCAGACATACACGATTGCTGAAACCTTGAAACAATCGTTACAAAATGCAATTCCTGTCTTCTGGCCAGTGCTAGTCAAAGGCTGAATAAGGTTGCGTCTTGTGTGCCAACACATTGTGAAAGGGCAATGTTTCTTCCCAACTACATGAATCGGTAGTCTGCTGGGCGGAGGGCAGTTCTAGGACTGAATACTGGACCAAGTAAACCGAGACATGACAACAATGGAACAAATGTTACATCACTTTCCGGAGATTTAAGTAATGCATTTTACTGAAGAGTGAACAAAGATGGGGTACAGGGGTTTGAGACCTAAAGGCAAGGAATGAGATGACTTAACTGGATCTTTAAAAGTGTACAGTCAAGGTTGACAACACTGTATTATTAGCACAGTTCTCAGAGCTATGCAAAGGGAACCAGCACTACAGGAATGCAGGTCTAAGACCATAATGCTTGTTCTTTAGCATAAGTCCCACAACTTGACCTCACCTGCCACAACTCAGCAAAATGCTTAGGCTCCAAGTGTTAAACAGTCTAGCTCACAGTTTGCATCTTGGCTACTTCTTTTTGTCCCCGCTTTATGCTTTTCTACGGAGGACGTGACTTTTGCTTTCGGAATGTCTATTTCTGCACTGAGAAAGATGGATGGGATCACACTCAAATGATTAAAACAAACTACAATTTCATTTTGTTTCTAATTTCATTGCAATCCCCAGCGCAGCTGACAAGACACTTACAATATTCATCAGGGTCAGGAGATACTTCTGCACATGTTCTTTGCCATGGAACTGCACAACCGAGTCGTCAACTCCTAGCAGAACTTCAATGTTGTAGTCATCATCAGTCGCGTGCCTTCGATGCCTCCTTCTGGAGTTATTAACTCGATGTTCAAGACGGTTTAACATACTGTCAAGATAATCCAAATTACTCAGGTCTGCCCCTGAAATGAAAGAAAAACAGACCATGAAAAAAAATAGCGTGCTTTTGTTTTCATTCTCATCAATACAGAAATATATGCTTTAAAATAAAGAATCAGGAAGGTAAATTCTATCTTTAAATACTCTGATAAGTTTGAAATAATTGCATTAGTTTTATTTAAGCTATTCTGTATTTAAACTGGTACAGCTAAAAGAAAAAGCTGGCCTAGAGTACATTTACACTGCAACAGATCTGAACCTTTTCCATACAACTTCTGCTTCTATTATTCTGTCCTGTTCTTATGACACCGTCTGAAGCAGAGACAGCTTTTTATATATGGGTCTATGCCACAATGCAAAATCATCATCATCAAATAAAACAGGATAGTGGTATAATGTGCTAACATACCGAGAGAACAATTTGGAGCATTACCTTTGTTGGTTAGAAGGTATGAGCATACAAAGATTATTCGAGCGTCTGGTGCTAGACCACAATCCTTAATTACGTACCATGCCCCACAAAACACCCCACTTTCATTAGTCTTATTCTCAAACTCCAGAATCAGACTTCAATGAAAATTCAGTTACACATATCACCTTTCTGTATTCATCCACACACAGATAACCCAACCTGCAGTTCCAATGCATTACACCATCTTGAAGATCGATCCAGGAATG